TTTCGGTCGTTACCCGGATTCGAACCTGGGACCTTTTGAATGAGAGGCCAACACCTTAACCTCTAGGCCACGAGAGCCCTCTTGTTTGTCTGTCCGCCTTACTGTTTCCCCGCACTAGATGACTATTTTAGTGTTTTGTTTTCTTTTTTGTTCAAACAAACATTTGTTCATGTTTATTTCTGTTTTTGAGCGGGTAGGTCCTTTTTTTTTTACTCTGTCGTTTCTGGCTAGTTTTGGATTGTGTTTGTGGGTGGTTGGTGGGTGCTATAGTGTGGTTTGCTCATTCTTTCCTTTCAAACATCTATTGTCCTGATCTCCCCTCCTTCTTGTGTTTATTACTCTCTTCTAACACCTCTAATCTTCTGCATTTATATATGACCTTATTGTGTTGCAAGTGCCGTAAAACTTTTACTAAAGCTAAAAAAGCCTGGATTGTGTTTAGGCTGTTCGATGGTAGGTCATACTTTTTTACTTTTCTTTGTTGTCTCTATCTCTGTCCCTCTGTGGGTTGTTGGCGGGGGCTCTGGTGTGGTTTGCTCCTTCTTTCCTATCAAACATCTATCGTCCTTATCTCCCCTTCTTTTTTATGTTTGTTACTCTCTTGTAATACCTCTTAATCTTCTGGCACTCATATGACCTTTGCAGCTAGTTGCGAGCGCTGTGAAACCTCAACTAAAACTAAACTAAAAAAGTCTTGTCTAATCTTACTAATTGACTATTGCTGTGTCGATGTACTTCCCTTTCCTGAAACAAACGAAACAACGGAACTGTTCTCTTCTCTGTCTATGCATGATGAGATAACAGATTGCTGTGTATCACATTTGTAGGAGGAATTCTTTCTTATTAAAAAAGAAGGGTTTTTAGTTTTGAATGATGTTTTTTTTTTTCCTCCAGATGTCGTAGGTCCTACGTTTTTCCTTTCCCTCTGAAGTCTTTAGGCTTTCCTGTTTAGTCCTAAATAACTGTTATTGTGGGTGGTTGGCGGGTGCTCTTGTGTGGTTTGCTTCTTTTTTCCTATGAAACATCTATCGTCCTTATCTCCCCTTGTTCTTTTGTTACTCTCTTGTAACATCTCTAATCTTCTGGCGCTCATATGACCTTATTGTGTTGAAAGTGCCGTAAAACTCTTACTTGACCAAAATTGAGTCGTTAGTGCCGTAAAACACCTACCTATTCAATAAATTTTAAAAAACCCTCTTACTAAAGCTAAAAACTATGTAAACCCACTCTAAGCCAACTCCAGACTTGACCCTCCCGAACTCTAATTAATGCAAGGATGCTGATTTGGTTAATAAATAAGACTGACTTCAAGATATGTGAGTGGTTGGCGGGTGCTCTGGTGTGGTTTGCTCCTTCTTTCCTGTCAAACATCTATCGTCTTTATCTCCCCTTCTTCTTTTTTATGTTTGTTACTCTCTTGTAACACCTAATCTTCTGGCGCTCATATGACCTTATGCAGTTGCAAGCGCCGAAAAACCTCTACTAAAACTAAAACTAAACTTCAAGATATGTTACTCTGTTTCATCATGCTTAAACTTTATCTTTCCTTCTAGGCAAATAACTGTTAAATAGGGCAAGGCTTATCTGATTCTTTGTGCGTAATGTTTGAATGCTTTTTTTTTCAAGGGTCCATAATCTTAAGTGGGTGGAAGTTCCCACTTGTAGGTCCTACTTCTTTTCATTCTGTTGTTGTCAGTGTTCCTTTTCCCTGCACTAAATGACTTTTGTTTAGTGGGTGATTGGCGGGAGCTCTGGTGTGATTTGCTCCTCCTTTCTTATCAAACATCTATCTTCTTTATCTCCCCTTCTTCTTTTTTGTGTTTGTTACTCCCTTGTAACTCCTCTAATCTTCGGCACTTATATGACCTTATGCAGTTGCGAGCGCCGTAAAACTTCTACGAAAACAAACTAGATATAATGTTACTCATTGTTTCATCATACTTGAACTTCTTTCCTTCCAGGCAAATAACTTTGAATAGGGCGAGGTTTGTCTGGTTCTTTGTGCATAATGTTTGAATGCTTTTTTTTTTTTTTCAAGGGTCCATAATCTTTAGTGGCTGGAGGTTCCCACTTGTAGGTCCTACTTCTTTTCATTCTGTTGTTGTCAGTGTTCTTTTCCCTGCACTTAATGACTTTTGTTTTGTTTTTCTCTTGCAAACAAAGAAAAAACAAATAATTTAAGTCAACAGGGTGGTTGGAGTGCGCCACCGGTAGGTCCTACAAGTTTTCAAAATATAATTACCCAATATCATGAAAAGCAAGCGCGTTCGATAAGGCAATGATCATCTTTTTTATTCCTTCTTTGCCTTTGTACTACCTCATTTTGGGCCCAAATACCTGAAACTGACCATGAATCTAACTGAAATGGAAACTTTGAGGTAGGCAGCCCTGCCTCTTATCCTCAACTCTTATATGACCTAATTCTGTTGCAAATGCAGGAAAACTCTTGCTGCTAAAGCTAAACTTTCATAGCTAGTTGGCAGCTCTGTTGTATGCTCAGTGCTTAAAGTTTGAAAATTTTGTTTTTGTCCTCAGTTGTGAGGGGTGCAAGGGATTTTTCAAGCGTACTGTGAGAAAGGATTTAACCTACGCATGTCGCGATGACAAGCAGTGCATGATTGACAAACGACAGAGGAACCGATGTCAGTACTGCCGCTACATGAAATGCCTGTCCATGGGCATGAAAAGAGAAGGTGAGCGGTTTGTTGGAGGGTGCTTCAAGTCTAGTGGGTCTTCTTACTTCTGTCCTTTCCCTTTGTTGTCCCTGTCTCTTAGTCTTTCCACTGCCCTAAGCTAAATTACTGTTATCGTGTTATGCTGTTTTGTATACAAACTAAAATTGTGTCCTTTTGAAGACACCTGTGAGCATTTCACTGAAAAAATGTTGATCTAAGGGGGGAAAAAAAAAAGGTAAATTTGCATTTCCAAGGACACCACACCTTTGATGGTCATTTTCTCATTTTACCTGTCATTTTCTAATTTTACCTCTGACAAGAGGCAACCCCACCTCTGTCAATAGTGAATATCTCAACTTCTGTTCAGTATAGATGGGCATTTTTTTCCCTCACAAGAAAGGCAAATGAACGAGTTCTAGTATTATACCAACAGCTCTACATGCCCTAAAATTGACAAACACATAATATAATTCCACTGCATTGTGGCACATTGTTTTTTTTTCAAAGAGTTTTCACAAATTATTCCATCAATTATGCCCAATGTGTACGGAATAATACAAAATTTGTGGGAGGGAAAACATTCTTTGTCTGTTGATTTTTGCTTTTTAAATCTGTGATGCATGTGTAAGTGATCGTTCTCTTTATAATGAACTAAAATGAGAGATTCTATCCATATGTTAGGTTTGGGCATGATGCTGGTGATAAAAAAAGACCACAACAAAACAACCCTTTTTATTTTGAAACCTCCACATTTCTGATTTTTTACTTTATTTTGATAATTAAAACATTGTTTAGGTTGCTACACCAGTCGAGATCAAATTAATAGTTATTACAATGTAGATGATTTAAGTTAAAAATAGACATTGTTTCAATAATCAACAATCACGCTGTTCTTTTATTTCATCTACCGTTCAATCTGTCTTGACATGCCTTTGTACAGTCAAACTTGCTCTAAGAAAATCACCCCTCCGAGACAACCAACCTAAAAGAAAAAATAATCCATTGTAACGACGAACTGTTATTATTGCTCGAACAATCAAACAAAAAAAGAAAAAAAGCCCCCATTGTTGATGTGCTTGTCCTAACTCAAACAAATGAACAAGCAAAAGTCCTTCTAATAAAAAAAAAATTAATGAAAAAGAACATATCTTTGTCCATTTGCCTGTCTTTACTCAACTAAACGAACAAACAAACAAAAGTCCCTTTTAAAAAAAGAACAACAAAAAAAAGTTCCTTTTTGAAAACGAATAAAAAAAAGTAGGGGAAAAGAAAAGCAGAAAGAACCTATTGCAAACGTCGTATTTCTTCCCCCCTCCTCCCCCCTACTGTCCTGGACACTACTGAGACATTCTTAGCTCTTACAGCGGTCCAGGAGGAGCGGCAGCGGGTCAAGGAGAAGGGCGACGGGGAGCCGGAGAGCACCAGCGGGGCCAACAACGACATGCCCGTGGAGCAGATCCTGGAGGCGGAGCACGCCGTCGACCCCAAGATCGACAACTACATGGACGTTCAGGTGAGGGGTGTGTTGGGGGTGGAGGGAGTGTGTGTGTGTATGTGTGTGAGAGGGGTTGGTGCACGCTGTCGACCCCAAGATAGACAACTACATCGACGTACAGGTCAGTGCGCCGCGCTGGGTGGGGGGTGTCTGTGTATGTGTGTGTGTGTATGTGTGGTTAGTTGGTTGGAGCACATGGTTGACCACATGGACGTACTGGTCAGTGGGCCGTGCGGGGTCAATGGGGGTTGGGGTGTGTGTCTGTCTGTGTGTGTGTGTGGTTCGTTGGTTGGAGCACATGGTTGACCACAAGATCGACAACTACATGGACGTACCGGTCAGTGGGCCGTGCGGGTTTTATGGGGGGTGGGGTGTGGTCTGTGTGTGTCTGTTTGTGTGGGTGGTTGGCAGGTGCTCTGGTGTGGTTTGCTTCTTCTTTCCTATCATAGATCTATCGTCCTTATCTCCCCTTCTTCTTTTTTTATGTTTGTTACTCTCTTGTAACTCCTCTAATCTTCTGGCGCTCATATGACCTTATGCAGTTGCGAGTGCCGTAAAACCTCTTCTAAAACTAAACTGTGTGTGTGTGGTTAGTTGGTTGGAGCACATAGTTGACCACAAGATCGACAACTACATGGATGTACAGGTCAGTGCGCCGTGTGAGGTGAAGAGAAGGGGTGTGTGTGTGTGTGGTGGGGGTGGGGTGAGCATGTTGTTGACCCCAAGGTCAACGCCAAGGTCATCCCCAAGGGCCGGACCAATTGTCTGACTCGTTGCACTTGTGCCGCGATGGCTGCTTTGTGCCCTCAATCTGGCTAGCAAGCCGCCTCGCTCCGACCTGATTCCCGCAATAACAATGCAAATCTTTTGCATGTATATTACCTTATTGTGTTGCAAGTGCAGTAAAAAACGTACTAAAACTAAGACAATATGATTCATAAATTTTTTTTTCCTTGTGCATGCATTTGTCTTGTAGCATAGGGTTTCAAAAGTTCAGAATTTTTTTGGGGGGTTCAAAGCCAGTTTTTCCATCTGTCTTGTTCTAATAATGTTTGTTCTTGTGTCCTCGGCGTGTTCCGTCAACAGAAAGACCCCGTGCTGAACATATGCCAGGCAGCGGATAAACAGCTTTTCACCTTGGTGGAGTGGGCCAAGCGCATACCACACTTCACAGCTCTGCCTTTGGAGGACCAGGTCATTCTACTGCGGGCAGGTCAGTCGAGGCACTCCACTCCTTTATCACTTCCCCTCCCTCCATTCTTCTACTGTTTGATGTTTGAGTTTACTTAACCGTCTGCCTCTTCTCTCTTTCTCAGGCTCTTTTTGTTTTGCATATCTTTCTTCTGCTACTTCAGCTTCAGTATTTTTATATTCTTTATGTCATTGGTGCATGCATGAATTTAGGAGTGCGTCGAAGTCTGTGTTGGTGGCTGGAAGGTCGGGTGGCATTTGTAGGTCCTACTTTTATTTCCCTCTGTTTGCCTGAACGTCCATTGTCCTATCAATGTGAGTGGTTGGAGGGTGGCAGTGGTAGGTCCGTTTCTTTGCTCTCCCCCCCCGTTGCTTCTGTCTATTCATTTTTCTTTTTCGAAGTACTTTTTAGCATTTTAAAGTAAATTAGTTACCAGTCGTGAAGTGAACTTTCGCAGAGGTGAACAACTTGTGTTTCGCGCGCTCATATGACCTTAGCAGTTGCGAGCGCCGTAAAACCTTATACTACTACTACTAGATGATGGTAATTCCTCATTGGGACTATTTATCTATTTTAACATTCCTCACCTTTGTCTGGTAGGTTGCTTACGAGTTGTTATTTCTCTTCTTTCCCGTAGATGTTTTTGTCTGCTCTTTGCGTTTTTCCCCAACAATTAATGACCATTACTGTTGTTGTGCTTTCTTTATTTAAACAAACAGCAGAAGATGTGAGATTGATTCCCGAGTGAAGGTTTTTATTGAGAGATTTTAAAACATTTTTTGAATTTGAGTGTTGGTCTTGAGGGGTCGTAATGGGCAAGGTTAAAACAGCCTCAGTGGGTGGTTGGTTGGCTGGAGTTCTGGTGTAGTTTGCTCCTTCTCTCCTATCAAATATCTATCATCTTGATCTCTCCTCATTACTTTTATTTGTTACTCTCTTGTTGCATTTCTTATCTTCAGCTCTTGTTTGACTTCATTGTGTTGTAAATGCGTTAAACTCTAACTAAAACTGAAAAAACAGCTAGCTTCCGTAATCTAAATTATCTCTAAAAAGCCATGAAATTGAGGGATGCCGCTTTTCCATTATTTTCTCTTTTCTTCTGTTATTTTGGGCATCATCCTTTTGGAACTTTCATTTATTGTTGAACTGGTATGATGTTTTGTTGCATTTTTTGCTTCGTAGCCTTCTAAATCTAGTCTCTCAAAAATTTTCTAAATTTTTTACTTAAATCCAGTGTCATCCCTGTATTCATAGCTGCCACTTTTCCCGCTAAATAGCGGAAACTCCGCTTCATCTAGCTTTTCCCGCTACTTTGCGATACTTTTTTTACACGTGGAAAAGACCGAACCGGGAGAGAGACGAAAACGCAGCTTGCGCATGTCCCCCCATAGCTTTCTACTTCCGTTCTTCTAGGCCTAGCGTTAGTTTCACTTTGTTTATTGTGGAGCAACAAAGTGTCGATTGGGCATCGGGACGTTGTTAGCGCGCCGAGTTGTCAATGAAAACGGCGGAAATTCGAGAGAAATTGATGCTGAATGCAAAAATAAAAGGAGCTGAAATGAGAAAGAAGCTGCCGGTGTGACTTGAAAAGTTCATGAGAAAATTGAACAAACCGCTTGCTGCACTTTGCGTTTGGTGCGATAAAGAAATCGCGGCCCGCGGCACTCCTGTACAATTGCGGTCCCGTTTGTTTACATGACGGCTAGATTCTAGATCTAGATCTATATTGTGGCTATTGATGAAGTGAACACTGAATTTAGATCTAGATAATCTATCTCTAGATATAATCTAGATTTACACATATTTAGATATCTAGATTCTAGATCTAGATTAGATAGTCTAGGCTATAATTTTAATTCAGGTTAGATCTCCACTCTACAGAGGGACTACTAAGTTAAGTGCAAACGGGACTGCAGTTGTACAGGAGTGCTCAGTACAGCGGCAGAGGTGTTGCCTCCTTGATCCAGTACTGCGCGCACTCTACATCGATGTACAAGTTTTAAGTTGAAAGAAATCTTTTTATAAGACACCAGCATGCAACAAACACTGGATTTTTAGTCACCAAGTCTAAACTGTGTCAAATTGACTCAAATTCTTGTTAGTCTACTTAACTTAGTGCCTTTGTTGGGTTTTTTTGTTAGTTTTTTGTTATGTTGTTGTTGTTTTTTTCAAATACATTTTAATTCAGTTGCCTATGGTTAACAAATATGACAGTTTTCCCTTCCAAAACCATAGGCTAGATTTTCCAGTATATATTGCCTCTGGATCTCACTGGTTTTACTCCAGCCTTCGGAGAGCGCGCATCCGCCTTCGCATGAATTTCCTCCTTTTTTGAAATACCTGAGTGGCAGCTATGTGTATTACAATTTGCTTAATTTCTGTAAAATTTCATCCTCCGTCCCTTACTTTGGAGGCAAATTTCTCCCTTCGAGATGAATAAAGATTGCCATTGTCATTGTCAATGTTCATTCCCGTTATCTTTGGAGACAAATTTCTCCCTGCGAGATGAATAAAGATTGTCATTGTCGTTGTGATTGCAGGCTGGAATGAGCTCCTGATCGCGGGCTTCTCCCACCGCTCCATAATGGCCAAGGACGGCATCCTACTGGCCACAGGGCTTCACGTGCACCGCAGCAGCGCCCACCAGGCGGGCGTGGGCACCATCTTTGACCGCGTGCTCACCGAGCTGGTGGCCAAGATGAGGGAGATGAAAATGGACAAGACGGAGCTGGGCTGCCTCAGGGCTGTCGTTTTATTTAACCCCGGTGAGTTCTCAATGTTCATTTTTAGGATTTTTTTTTTTATGGCTGGCCGAGGGTTACAGTTTGAATGATAGTAATAATATAATGACACTTTTGTGGTAAGCTGTCAAAATGCTTTTTTTTCCATTTTGGAGCCAACGATTTTTTAATCAAGTAAAACAAAGGCCTGATCAGTTACCCTACTTATGTGGGGAAAAAATCCAAATGAAACTGATTTGTGTTTTAATAAATTAGAATGCAAATATCAGAAGAACAATATTTTAAATGGTTAAGCTGACAAAAAACTTTCTCAGAACTGGTGTGAATAAAAAAGGCGTTTTTGTCAGCTTACGACAGAATTGAATTTGTTTCGTGCATTTCCATAATGTTGCAGCATGGTGCACTCTCTGTACTGAAGTATTATTGGCCCAGCAGACTCAAGAGCATATTGCAAGTGTCGTAAAACATTGAAACAAAAAAGACCCTAGAGCACTGGGAAACAATCTTGGCTACCCAGAAAACTCATTGTGCAAGTTTCCATTTTCATTAACCTTATGACATCTTTTGCTATCTTATGGCCGGGTAAATGTTCACATTTGTGTGAAGAAGGGAAAATTTGTGTAAATTCTTTTCTGAGGGCGTAGTATTTGGCTGGGCTGAGCTTCGAATTGCCAAACCTACAAGTGTGTGTGTGTGTATGTGTTTTATTGCCTGCCTGCTTGTACTGAGCTGTGGTAAATGTGCACAAGTAGGCCAAAGTATGGGATGATTTTTATGTATGTAAGTTTGTAATTGTGGGTGTGTGTGCGTGTGTGTGCTTGCATGTGCCTGCCTGTTCTGCATTGTAGTAAATGTTTACGAATGGGATGTTTTTGTGTGCTTGTGTTTTGCCAACACTTACTTATTTGTTTTCCTATTTCCCTGTGGAGCTACTGGGTAAAAAAATGCATTTGTCAGCTTTGAGAAGCTTGAGTAATGGAGGATCTACTTTTTCCTTTTACCTATCCTCTTCTTCTTTTGCTCGTTCCCTTTTTTTTTTCCTTTTTAAAACAAAGTTATTTTTATAGCTTATGTATCCTGTATTGTTGGGATTTTTTGATCCAGGGTTGCTTTTTGTAAAATGGGCCCAAAGGTGAAATCTAGGTCATATTTAAAAGTGGTCCACAGAATGTTTGTGTGAGAATGCTTTGTTGGGCTTACTCTTCATGGAAGAAACCCCCCCAGAAAAAAACAAGGCCAAAGTACAAGAGTACTACATGTTTGGGTTTGTTTTGTGCCTTCTGTGTTCTCTAGTGGGGAATACTTGTTATGGTTGAATTGGTGAAATTGAAAATTCTTTGCTCTTTTAAATGTTTTTTTGAGGTTTTTTTGTTTTGTAGGTGAGAAAAATAAGACTGGAAAAAACTCAGAAGTAGGGAAAAAAATTAACTGGATTTGGGTAGTAAAGGTGTTTAAAAAAAAAAAATCGACATAAAAATGGTTTTGTTTTGATATGTTTTTTTCTTTTTTGTTTGTTTTATTTTTGTACTTCTTATCGTTCCATCTCTGAATGGACATCCCAGTCTCCAGTGGATGGGTGGCGGTTGCTCTGGTGTGGTTTGCTCCTTCTTTCCTATTATGCATCCATCATACTTATTTCTCCTCCTTTTTTGTTACTCTCTTGTAACAACTTAAATTTTCGGCATGTGTGTGTCCTTATTGTCACAAGTGTCATAAAACTCTTACTAAGTGGGTGGTTGGAGGGCGCCACTGGTAGGTCCTACTTCTTTACTTTCCTTCTGTTGTTTCTTTCTGTTTTACCTTTGTGGATGGTTGGCTCTGGTGTGGTTTGCTCCTTGTTTCCTATCGAACATCTATCGTCTTGATCTCTTATCCTTTTTTGTGTCTGTTACTCTCTTGTAACATGTAATCTTCAACACTTATGTGACCTTATTGTGTTGCAAGTGCCGTAAAACTTTTACTAAAACAATGTCTTACCTTTTCCCCAGCACTAAATGACCATTATCTTGTCGATGTGCTTCTCTTTATTCAAACAAATTTTTAAAAAGTTATCTAAATCTGAAGTATAATTGTCCCGTTTTTTTCTGGCTACAGATGCAAAAGGCCTGTCGGCCGTGCAGGAAGTGGAACAGCTGAGGGAGAAGGTGTATGCGTCGCTGGAGGAGTACACCAAGACACGCTACCCGGAGGAGCCCGGGCGCTTTGCCAAGCTGCTCCTGCGTCTGCCGGCCCTGCGCTCCATTGGCCTCAAGTGCCTGGAGCACCTGTTCTTCTTCAAGCTGATCGGCGACCGGCCCATCGACACTTTCCTGCTGGAGATGCTGGAGAACCCCAGCCCGCAGACGTAGCAGCACGGCTACTAGAACACGCCAGGCGCGCCAGAGGGGACTGAATGTGTTGTGCTCTGTGTGTGTGTGCTGTGTGTGCGTGTGTGTGTGGGAGCCAGAGAAGATGTGGGCGAGAGAGTTGATGAGGAAGAAGTATCTGTTTGCTCGAGAGGATGAGGAGCATAGTTTTTTTTTTTTTTTTTTTTTTTTTTTTTGGTTTGGCTGTATGTCATTTTAAAATCTTTTTCAGATTGTTTTAAAAAAAAAATTTTAACGTGTCGTTGTTCAGTGTTGTGATTATATACGATTCATGGAGGTTGGGGAAAATGTCATCGTAGGATTCTTATCACACAGCTGTTCTCTGGTTTTTGTAGACCCAACAAAGGCAGCTTTGTACATTTTATGCTGTTCTGTCTTGCAAAGTCTGGGGATGTTGAAAATCAACCTGAAATGGTTCCTTTTTTTAAAAATCGTTTTTGTTCTGCAGGATGGAAATCTTACCATCGTTGGTGAAGCAAAATGCAGAATTATTTTAGTAGGGAGTGAGAGGGGTGTATTTTCAGCGGTCTATAATTTATCACGATGTTAGCATGTCAGAAATTGTGCAATAGTTTTGTCTGCAGTTTTATAGATCACATTTTGTGTAAGATGTCTCTTGGTCATAGAAAGGGTTGGTTTCATCTTCTGAGGGGGGGGGAGCTGCATTCGTTGGACAGATATTGATGGTGTTGAGCACTAATGTGCCCCCTTCAAAATTGCGTAAGACCTGTTTTTTTGTTTGTTTGTTTTTTTTGCTTTACCATATAACAGGGTTGAATATCAAATAGATTGTCTCAGTAATTGGAGTCCAAATTTTAGTGAATAGAAATGCTTGGAACCATGACACAAAATTTGAGTTGAATTGGTCTTTGATAGATATATATATATATATCAGACAGTTTTAGCCTCTCATGTTAACCTGGCATCCTGAGAGATGTCCCTTGGGTGTCTGACACTATTGATGTACAGCTGGTGATTCTTGTGACATTGAAAGAAAATGACCCGAGTTGTGTGGAGGGGATTGGTTAGGCTGTTTGCGTTTTCTCCTTGGAAGATTAACAAATTGTTTGCTGCTTTGTTCCGTCAGATTTCTGCAGCATTTTTGACAATAAAGTTTTATCTTGTATTATCTTTGAATGTTTTCTTGCTGAAATTTATTTTTTTCCTGGGGTTTATTTTTTTGGATGATTGTTTTCCTGAATGGTCTTGAGACTAATATGTTTCTTTTTAAGGGGGGATTAATGGGTTGCAGCTTTTATTTTCTCTGCATCTTTTTTTTAACCTGCTCTGATATCTATAGGGCAAGGCAAACGGCTGTAGAAATTGGAAATTTTTTTATGAAGATGCTTTAAGTGTTAAGAGACACACTTTTCTAGGATTGTGTAATTGTAAATACACGGCGGAATTGATGTTGCTTGCATTGGAGAGGGAGACTTTAAAAAATTAGGAGCTCCTTTCTTGTCTTAAACAGATGGTATGGAATATGAAAAACGCTAATTGTGACATTTTTCAAACTTCCATTTTTAGTATTTTATGTCGGAGTGGTTATGGACTCTGAGCTGGTGGCTTTCAATACCATCAGTGATTAATTCAGCAGTTTAATTTGACTTATGCGATTACAATGTGCCAGGTTAAATCATCTAATTTGAATGTCTTCATTTATTTTACAACTACTGTATTGAGATTTTTCAAAGGATTTTGCGAAATTTTGTCTCTATAGGAGATCCTGTTTTTAAAAGGATGACTTATGGACTGGCGTCCGCTGCCCTTTAGATTTGACAAAAACTTTTAAACGCATTTTACTCGATTATTCTTGTGGATAATTTCAGCTGTTGTTTCATGTCCATGGGAGTGCTTCGTCTTTTGTCTCAATTCTTTGTCAACGGTCGAAGATTTCGTCAGGTCCAAGTGTAGATGTGTTGATGGTGTGTCTGTCTGTCTACCTTGCCCTGTGGTGTTTCTTTCTTCACTCCATTTTTACCTGTGTATGACAACATATTTCTGATTGTATGCTGGACCATTGGGACCTTCTTAGGTAGTATTTTCTGTGAAAGTATGTTTGTTTTTTTGTCGGGGTTTTTCCTTTTGTCTTTTAGACTCTGGAAATTTTTAACTGTTGAGCTGTGCTTAGCCTTGCTTATTATCTTTTCATTATCTTTGGTGGCACAGCGCACACTTACTGGTCCGTGGGGGCTCGGGTGTGATTAGCTCTTTTTCTCTTATCTAACAATTATTGTTCTTATGTGTCTTTATCTTTCCTCCATCCTTTCTTTTTAGGATACTCTTTAGCCGCCCTTCCAATCTTGATCACTTATATGACCTTATTTGTGTTGCAAGTGCCGTAAAACTTACTAAAACTAAACACCCCGAGCCCCAACCCCAAATTCACATCGTTTCCATACAGTGGATCAGGTTTGGGTGGATTTTGTGATGATGTACAAGACAGGAGACAGAGAAATTACCATTACAATACTACTACCAGCTTCCTGAGTTGCTCCTTTGCTAGCTACAGTTAGAAGTTGTTTGCCCATACTCAGTAAAAAGAATAAAATGGAATCGTTGACATGGGAAAAGATGAATTGCTCTTGATGTGTATGTTCATGTCCATTTCTGTGGCTTTTGTTCGCAGGGGTTAACAGGAGGGGGGCAGGGGTGGGTTCTTTTTATAGATTTTTCGTATGTTCTTCCTCTCCCATTTTTTTGTGTGCATTATTGAATGAGTAACTTGATCTATATATTTATATATATATACACACACACACAGCTCTTGAAACCGCTTATTGTGAGATCCGGTGGGTTTGGCCGTTCTGCCCGGTTGGTCGGTCGGTCTGTCCTGTGGTGACGGAGGGAGACACTCACGCAGTGCGTGCACGTGGGGCCGTCTGACTGTTGTCGTTGAGTCTGCTACCAGTGGCCGAACTGGTTGTTACTATTGTATTGCCTGTAAAATACTTTTGTGCTGTTTAAACGATTCATCCCACCCCCCACCCCATTCAGTCATTTTGAGGTTGCCATGCGTGTATGATTTTCTGCCCTGGTTCGGATTTAATTTGAAATGATTTTTTTTTACATTTATTATTACTGTTCAAGTTTTTATTTTGTTTCCCTGCACTTTAGTCTCTCTTCAGTCTGTAGTGTAGCTGTTACTTACCTCACAGTAGCATGCAGAAGACGTGGGTTTGAATTCGCCTTAGGGAGAAATTTAAAATCGAGTATTTTTTGTCTTTATCCTGGGACATTGTCCCCTTCTGCCCGGGTTGGCCATGACAGGCAGGGCTGAAGTAGCCGGCCTCCTTAACCACCTAAATTGTGTTGATAAGGGCAGAAAGCGTGTACTATTACTCAGCCTGAGCTGTGTCAGGTTTTGTGTAAAAACTTTTATATTTTGCTTGTCGTGTCTTTGAGGGGTTTTTTTCCTTCTGTTTTGGCTGAATAATAGGGAGGTTTGTGGTAAAGTTATGACTGAAAGAAAGGTTTGTCGGAGAGGATTTTGTTTTGGTCTTGAACAGATGATCAAAGTTGAGTTGTGTTCAGTGACATATGTGAAATGATAGTCCCCAGTTGCCAAATTTCTTGTGTCTGACTGGAATCTATCTCGCCTCTCTTGGAATGTTCCCTCGCAAGAATGTGGACTGTCAGTGGTTTGGGTAAAACTGATGCTGATGAGGATTTTGGTTGTGGAAATTCTAACTGCTGTTGTTGACTCATAGTTGGTGGTACTTGCATTCGCATGTGCTGTCCCTAGGGAAAGTAAAAGGCAAACGAGGCAGCGGTAGATAAGGAACAGTCAACTCTCTCTCTCTCCCCCTGCCTCCTGGCACTGTGACTTAATTGGCCAGCAATGCTGACAACACGCAGGAACTCGACGCTCGCTTGGGGGTCCTTGAACTATGCTGATCGTGGGTCGCTGAAATGTCCCATCAGTAGACGTGTTTTGGCACGATAGTTGGCTGGACATTTCAGGAATACGTGGTCCCACAGCCAGCTGAGAGAACCTGAATACGTGGGTGATGGGAAGATGGGAGTAACATCCCAGGTTTATGTAGAGCACCTGTGCGGAGAAATGAATGAGGAACTTTGGTCGCTGTCTGTTACGGATGAGACACATGGTGATGATGATTTAGTTGACTCTTACCTCCGTCTCCATTTTCGGTGTTTGTAATGTCCACATTGTGAGTGCAACAAAAAAAAGTGGAATTATGGAAGTAGAAAGTGATTCGTGGCAGCGCAAACAGGGGTTGAGATATGGGATTGATGTTGATGATTGCGATTGTCCTGCACAGCGGTTATAGAGCGCCCATTTAGTTTCGGCTGGCGCGAGGCAAGCAAGCCCGCGCTTCCCCAGGTCACGGGGTCATTTACCTGCGCCGCCGGGGTTTTCCCTAATCAGCCGAACACCGGCAGCGCTCTTGTATTTTTTGCAAAGTTTACCAGCACAGTGAGCCAAAGCTAATGTAAGATGAATATTTTAATAAAGACCACGTAAATATTCAACATATTAAGGAAGAAAATGAAGAAATCGGAAGAACATGGTACATTACACTTAAAAGCTGTGAGGTTCTCAAAAAGGGGACTTAATTTGATAAATGTGTCATGGGTAATCAATTATAAACATCGATTTAAATATGATTGCCCCCAACGAATTCAATCAAATTTGCACACAGGACTGAGAACATAATGAAATTTGTACTGACAAAGGGGCATATGCACGAAGTTTCTGGATCCGTAATTATTCAGGTTTGAAGTTGATTTTTGCAATACTCTTGCTTTGCGACCTTGTTTTTTCATAGCGATAACCACGATACATGTAACTACAGGACAGATCTTTTCTTGCCGATACACTTATGAAAACACAACCTAAACACAAAATACAAAAAGAACACAATATTGCTGGACTGGAGGAATTATCTCATATTCCCGCTGTAAGCTTTCGTCTTTTGATGGGTGGTGCACACGACAGAGTAGCTCAGGGTGGGTTGGACGTGTTGTGACTGCATGATTGTTTTGACGTGTTTTTCTTTGTCTGTTAGGCCACGGTTGCATGAATGAGCTCACCCCCTTGCTCACCATGGAAGGCCATTCCAAACCCACATTTTTGTATCCAAGGAACGCAGTGTTTCTCAAGGATGTGTTGTTTGGGGATGACCTTTTCTTTTGATCGATTTTGATTGAGTAGCACGTGTTTTACGGCACTATCGACTCAAGACCTTTTATTTGCCAAATATGTTTCTGTATAAAGACATATATCGTGTGATGCATGACTGAATATGTGGTATTCTCTCTAAAGTGATTGGCTTTCCATGTGCAATTACTGTGTGGATATCTTTGAAGGTATCTTTTACGTGAACAAATTTCTCTCTCAGAACAATTAATGCGGTGTCTATTATGCTTTGATTTCGTGTACATGCAACTGTTCCTTTTGCTAAAAATGATGCTAGCTGTCTGTACACATGGGCTGTGATGTATTTATGGCAGTGGCTTCCTATAAATGAACGGCTGTGGTAGGCCTGTGGTGTGAGGTTGTGTTGTTTGAGGATGTTATCAAATTCAGAGCAGGCAGGACTTGACCTTGGAATAAGCTCCCCAAACTCTAACTCTGACAGCTGATCATGTACACTAGAACCCTTCCTCTCAAATCTCTCTGCTTCTCGTGGATTATCCGACAAAATCTGACAGCCCTGTAACAATTGAATGTCCTCCTCGTTTTTTTCCAGCCCTCTTTCATTTTTTGCCGTAGATATGCACATTTTGTCCTATTCCAGGCGTGCAATTCTCCATAGATTGATGGGCCAGCTGTACATCTATATTATGTGCAGCCTCCTCAAGAAGGCGATGATGTTTGAGCACAATGCCCACCATATGATCATGTTGAGTGTGGCACTCCATGACAAAAATATTGTTAAAAATGACAATGAAATTCAGATGTAGTAGAGGCAAGAAAACTAAAAACAGCAAGGATGAATGTTCAGAGTGGTGGGTTGGTATTTTTAAAAAATCACAGAAAATCATAGAATAACTTCGTGCATTTGAAACTTGCACATGTAAATGAAAATTGTCACCACAGTTGATACATGAATTTCTGTTTAAATCGTTGGGGGCCGGATTGATATATCTAAATCCAAACTGAAAAAGTTCTAAACATTGAAGATGCCAGTTTGAAAATCACAGACTTACTTAAATCCCTTGTAAAACTGATATAATCGGACTTACAAGAAAACAAGTTATACCGGCCTACAGGTCAAACATAGCACGTTACAATGAAATCTCAATCGGCCTTGTAGCATTTATAGTTTCAGAGTTAGGAGGCTTTCAATTCGCACTAAAACGCCATATTTACTACTGCCCCGGCACAGGAGGAGTGACGCTGCGGTCACCCCAATTAACCCCTCTGACAAGTGATTTATGACTACGCGCTGGGCTGTCGGGCGGGGCGGGCAGGGTGGTGAGGATGGTCGGGGAGGAACTGGGGAAGGAAAACTAAGTGAGCGGTCTGGACGGTATTTTATCCGCTGTGCCTGGCCTTTATCAGGCTGCTTTTAAGATGTCTATGGTTTTAATGGTGCTGTTTTATTCCAGTTCGGCCGAAATTCTCCTGTGATCTCGCGTTAACGGTGTATGATAGTAGCCTCTGGGTGTGTTAGACTGGACAGTCATATTATTGATAGTGTCGGGCATAAATTGGCCAACTCAAAAAAGTTTATAAAACCGAACTTTTGACTGGTGTAATCTGGATCAGAAAAATAAAGTAACTAGATCGGAAAGGCTATGGTTTTCAGCCAAACACAGGATCTCAATAAATGATGCAACAGTTCGAGCAAACGGAAATGCATGAAACATTAACATACAATCAGAGTTGACCTGTTGGTCTTTGAGAGATTGATTAAACCGTTTAATTTATAGCCTCTCCCTTGCAAAATGAGCTTCAGGGTAGATTGGTACCACTTGTGCCTGACACTATCTATATATTATGAAATTTCAAGGTTGGAGTCCCACAAACTTTTCTTATCCTCTTTGAAAAGCCCCCCCTCCCCCCGCCGGGTGTCCTGTGTGGCCAAAGTGTTGTGGAGGAGCTTCTTTGACTCGTTCACGGCGACGGGCCAGGAGATTGTCTCAGCATCTTACTTCATCACCACTAAGAAGAGTTGTGTCATAGGCGTGATTGTATGCCTCTGCTCACACTATTATACTATAGCAGTCCAGGCTTTTCGAAATTTTAGAACATTTTGGTCTGAAAATTTTCTGTTTTTTAAAAACTAAACAAATCCCCTTTTCAGTGTCCCTTAATTTGAATTTGACATTGAAGTTATTTTTTGCGAAACAAGTAAATCTATGGACAAGACTAATGTATATTATGTGTACAATGCAGATACCTGCTGATTGAAGAAATAGCATCCAGGACATGAGAAAATTATGTTGTTTTTTTTGTAGTATTTGATAAGTTGGAGGTTTACCCACTTGACTTTGACTTGGGACGCAGTAATTGAGACAAGTGTTTTGTGAATGTTGCTCTGTTATCCCTTCAGTTCATTGTTTTTTGTCTGCGTTCAGCTTTTAGCTCTGATGACTTTTCATGTTTGCTTTTCAGTTTTATCTCTATGATGATTAGTAGTTGTTTGGATCAAGGGTTTTCTGCGGAATGTTTGGAAGATATGTGTAAAATCATGGGTGTCTGATTGAAACCATGGTAATATTCATCCTATTATACTTATATACCGTACATTAATTGCAATTCCTCGGTGATTTTTCTCCCGTTTTACCTTATATATGTATGATAATGCATGTATACGAGAATTATTTTTGTGTATATAGATACATTTGAATTGCTAAAATTTGTCAGGAGAGGATATGATAATATAGCTGTGCAACTTTGTGCAACCACCACCACCACCACCAACACCACTAATCTCTGCCACTACAAAAGCCCCCCACCCCTACCCCTACCACTGGTAGGGTACAGGTCCCGTTTACACTATCACTATGAGTTGTGGACAATTCTATGGCTTGGCATGCTTCATGCCGTCTCTCGAGAAGATAATAGAAATTTTCTCCTTTCTGAATTCTTGTCAGGAAGCCATCTGCACTGTTCTGTCATCGCGCTAAAGTGGAAATTATCCATGGAGGTCGCCTTGAAAGTTTGTTTAGTAGTTAATGACGTTTATTCTGCATGACAACGGTTTCATTTCTACATGGAATCTGTTTGAAACTAGTAGACAATTAGAAAGATGGGTCAGTGATATCTGTGGATTTTCAGGCAGTGCGTAAAGTCATGTAAATCATGTCAATGTAGTAAGGGAAATAGCCACATGGCACTCCTCAACACTGACTTAGGCTGCTACAGTTTTGTTCAGATCTAGAGATGGTAGGTAGTTTTTACACCAGGGTACAAATTCCTACCCCTCTCTCCCCCATCCCCCACCCCACCCCACCCCACCCCATGGTGACTGGGCTCGCGAAGAATATGTACATCCTGTCGGTCGGGAAGGGCGGGGGTCGGGGTCGGGGGTCATGTAAACTCTTGCTGAATTTGATTTTGTAACGATGGACCTTGTGGTGAGTGGACATCTCCTGTTCCTGGATTCTCCTGTTGTAGTTTGAGTGAGGTCCTAACCCCCCCTTTTTTACGTTGTACGGTATTCCCTGGCTTTGGTGTTGTTGTTGTGGTTGGTTGGTGGTGGTTGTGGCGGTGGTGGTGGTGGCTCAGCATAGGAACCATTGCTCCATGTTTCATTGTTGTAATTTGTAGCCCGTCATCATCATTATCATCATCGTCGTCGTCGGCATTAGCATCGCCACCAGTTTGTTGTTTGGCAGTCGTCATTTCTGTCATTGCATACCATTCTTGACTTTTTGGGCGAGATGTCTATGTCTACAGCTGCCCAGTTTTACCAGCATCCCTCATTCCTCAGCTTTGTCTGTGCGGAAACCTCTGTGCCCACTTTCAGTTTGTTGAGAAGAGTGGTGGTGAGATGTATTTGTAGAGGGCTTACTGCAAGTAGTTTTAGTCGTCATTTAAAATTTTTTTAAAGTTACTTTGAAATGATGGAAAAAATAAACATTGCAAAGAATAGAACTGAAGTCGAATTTGAAAGTGTTGAGTGGGAAGGGTTGGGTTTTTTGTTGTTGTTTTTTTTGTCGTTTTTTTTTTTTTCTTCTTTACTTCAGAGTGGTACTGTTG